ATAATACTACTAATTTTTAAATCTTTATTTGTTTTTTAATTTCACACATACTTATTGGTATAAATTTGGATAAGAATTTTTTAATTACAAAATTATTTAAATTCTGCTGATATTTTTTAAAAAGTAAAAACTTTGTTTACCATATAAAATGCTTGATCATTGAACAAGAAAAAATGAAATTTATTTTATTAACTCATATGAATTTGTAGCTTGATTTTTTTTTTTTTTGTTTAGAAATGTTTTTATGAAATTAATTTTTTTCAAAATTTCTTGAATATAATTGCAAAAATCTATTAACAGTAAATGTAAACTTTCAGCTTTTAGAAGTCTAAAGAAATATTTAAAAGAGTTTTCCTTTGATTTGTAAATATCAAAAGCATGGAAGTAAATCCAGATTGGAGCACCAAATGTTGTTAGCTGTCAACAGTGACAACTTTCTGGTAATTCTTGTAGCCAGGCCATCTCTAAATGTATGCATGCATATTATATATATATATATATATATGTGTGTGTGTGTGTGTGCGTGTTCCTTTGGATTTTGCTGGTATGGCTGAGAGGGAGGCCATGTAGTCCATTTATTTCTAAATAAGAAAACTTAAAATGAAAAAAAAACCTACATAACCAAAATCTAATCACATTAATTTTTAATATTCACACAGTTGATTTATCTAAATTTATCAAGAATAACAAAATTATTCTTGTGTTCCCGACATGCTTAAGGAGCCCCCAATTGATTAACAGAGATGATCAATGAAGGGAGAGAATGAGTTTTCTCTTGCAAATTACCCGAAATGGCAGGCTTTACAATGAAAGAAGTCCACTATTTGGGATTTATGATAGACTGTATCTTTGTGAAATAAATTTTATTGAAGGATATTGTATATATATTTGAATGTTGTACTTAAAATAGAACACATATCTGAATATTTGTAGAATTGGGTATCTTTTAAGTCAGTCACATTTGACTTTGTAACATTTGCTCACAGAATATTATCTGGTACATAACCTCACAGTATGTAACTCCAACATATCATCTGAAATTGATTACCAGAGCCAGGACTTGCATATAAAGCATTGAAGTTCTAATCTCTAAACAGAAAATGAGAAACTGATGAAAGTAGGTGAGTTGACTATCAGCAATGTCGAGTGGGTTTAAAAAAAAAAAAAAAAAAAAACATACACATGAGAATATACTATCTTAAACAGTTGTAATCAAGCAAGAATTAGATGCTGCATTTAATAAAAGTCTACCCAGAACTGAAAATAAGTAAGAGGCTCAAGTGAAGGGGCATTACAGTTGCTGGTCAGGTAAATGATCTTTTCAGTATTCAAATCATTGTAGTAGTATTATTAATCAAAAGCATGAATGCAGATATGTATTAATAGGAATTGACCAAATATTATGGCAAAATATGAAAATGAATCGTCTCATCTCAGTTCAAGAATGGAAGAATCAAACACCCCTGGTGCCTTTATCTTTGTTCAGAACAGGGAATTGATATACCTTTGTCCAGCCCTTTTGTTAAATCTGTATAATCGTCTAATCAGTCATTCAAACTTTCTCCTCCTCCTCCTCTCCCACTTGCCTCTGGTCCATTTCATAAGCTGTCCTAAAAAAATCAGTCTTCTCAATGCAACAGAACATTAAAAAGTACCTCCTTTCTTGTTTCTGGCTTTTTATTATACTGCCTGCTTACCCACAATTCATATTAACTCTTCCTATTAGTATTTAAAATTGTTCAGTTAGCACTTTTCTATTTCCTTTCTTCAGGTAAGTAAGATGCTTCTTATCTTTTTTTTTTCTCTCTCTTTTCTTCCTCTTCAAGTACAAATCTGACAGCACCTGATGATAAAAATTAAATCTTATGTATTTGGCTTTATATTCCACTGGGTTCAAGATTGCCCTTATGCTGATGACAGAGTAACCAGGCCAATCAGATGATTATGTTGAAAAGAGAATATAGAATTAATTAATAGAATTAAAGTATATATAGAATTAGTGAGTCAACTAAAAGAGTATATTGGTCCAACATTTTTGAGTGAGACAATAAGTTGGACAGTGATTCTTATGGACCTATTTGCAGAAAAGAAGGGAAAAGAACATAAATTTGGTAACAGAAATATTGCCATCATGATACATTATCTTGACTGCTGTTATTGTGGCCATCAGAGTTGATATTGTGACAGATGTCATAGCCTTGGACTTAGCAAAGCTGCCATGAAAAAAAAAAATAAATAAATTTAAACTTTGAAAATGATACTGTAGAGATTCTGGGAAGAAAGCTTCAATTAAAATACATTTTGTCATTACCATATTCCAATTACCATATTTGCTAGCCTAATGGACATAATTTAAAAAAAAAAATAAATACCAAAAATTACCCTGTGTCCAATACAGCAGCATCATGTATGAGAGGGACATGATGACAATGAAAAAAAAAAAAAAAAAAAAATAGGGTTCACCAGTAATCAGTGCACACATTGAGCTTAGCTCTGAAACTAGAATTCCTGGAAGTGAAAAAATATGATATCAATAAAAATATCCCTGAATAATTCATCCAAGAAAAAGAAATTAAGAAATTTATGTAATTGCACAATATTTTGCTGCTTGCTTTGCAGAAATACCAGATTTTACAGAAATATTTGCTTGACTGGTATACTGCTGCTTGCTTTGTGTATGTTTTTGTTGATGTACAGGTACTGGAATTTGTTTTTCTGTTACCATATGTACTAGTGTCTAGGGGTACCAGCAGATTTCTTTGTAGCTATTATAAATTTACTATTTATTTATAATTTATTATTTCTTTGTAAATAGGATGAATTTACTGTACATGCAGATGTTGCTCCCTGAAAAACAACTAAAACAATTTTCAATAAATGCATGATAAAATGTACTAAAATTCTTCTTTGCCAAAAAATGTCCTGATAATTAAACCTTACTTCACTTCTATTAAAAATACTTAACAGTAGTATAATTTGTGTGAATACTGTACATGTTTGTTCATGGTTAGTGAGAATGTCACAAAGGTAAGGTTATAATTTTCATTTCCTTGGTTATGATATGTGCGTTTGTTCTGATTTAGTCAAATAAGAGATGGTGAATTCATGAACATATTACACAAATTTTTCTGATTCTTATGAAATATATACTAAATTTAGGAGGACTGAACCCAAACCTGCTGTAGGATTTTCACCTAGATTTTATTTTCATTGGCTATGGACTTTGACCCATTAATGCCCATCATCTTAATTTGGGGACAGTGGATATTAATGGATTATAGGTATAAATGTATAAGCTAATTAATACAAGATTTTCAGGGAAAACTATAATACTAAATTTTTATTTTTATAATTAACAGCAGGTTTTATGGCTGGGATAAATGGTTTAAAGAAATTGAAGATATAGTAGTAAAGTTTGTAGATCATAAAACCAGATATAATGTTAGAATTATACTTTGTAAGGACATTTCTGATATTACTAATGGTATCTTCAAACAATGTATACAATATTTGGGGGCTCCAAGTCCTTTTCTAGCAGATAATGGCAGATAATTTAATAAATAGTCATTCTGTGACATGTCACAGGATATGAAATGTAATTGTATGTGGAATAATGAGCTGAATGAAAGACACAATGGCATAACTGAAAAAAAAATGGAAAAAGAAAACTCTATAAAGATACAATTTTGAAATGGTTCTAACATCGGTCATCAGTGCTAAAAAGCACTTAGCTGTATTCATAGGTATAGATCTTGTTTATATAAGCTTGTTTTGCAAAGAAGTCCCAACTGGCTTTCATTAATAAATGATGAATTCCCTGCATTAGAAGTTCTTTCAAAGTTGAAGCAAGTAATCTTAATGCTATGCATTCTGCTAGAAAAAGGCTCATCAAGTTTGAGTGTTCAGAATGATTAAGATAGTACTTTATCAGGTCTGGAAAATTAATGCAATACATATAATGATGATGATGATGATGATATCGTGCTTTAAAAAAGAAATGACTTTGATAGCTAGTTCAGTCTTAGGACTTTTATAAGCTGGGATCATAAACAAGTGAAATGGATAAATCCTGCCTGTATGATACAATACATCAAGTGATCAAATTTTACATAAAAGTTGACATAAAAAAGGCGATTCTGAAAAAAATGATGATAAAAAGGAAGCCTGCAAGAATCATATTGTTAATGCACATGATGAATGCAGGGAAATAATTCATATATCTCCAGTTAATTCTCTTGAACTAAGAAAAACAAAACAGTACATTTTACAATGAAAGAAGTTCACCATTTTGGATTGAAGACTCTATATTGGTAATATACATTTTTTAAGGATACCATATACAACTGGATTGCTGCATGTAAAAAAGGAAAGGTATTTGAATAATTGTTAAGTCATTTATTAAAGTCACACTTAATTTTGTAACATTTGGTAACAAACAGTTTATAATCATAACAATACTTGACAATATATTTGACAACACAGGATTTGTTGTACTAAATACATTAATTTTGAAGCATTAAATTCTGCTTTGTAAATTGAAGAAACCTATTAGACGTGAATAATATTTTGTTTTTTGTATGTATATTCCTTTCAAGTTCCTAAGATATATATGAGAGGGAGGTAAAGACTAAAAGAAAGGAAAGAAAGAGTGTCAGAGAAAGAAAGAAAATATGTTTGATCATTTATAAAGAGAAGCATCTGGAAATAAATATGCATATAGAAATGCACATGTGTCTATACAATTGAAAAGTCTGCAAAAATAAGTCATTATAACCCCCACCCTCCACTCAATTCAAATTAGAAGCATTGCTTGTAGATAGAATTCAAAAGAGGAAAACTTTTTCTTTTTTTTTTTTTTATTTGTTCTCTATATTTTTTACCCACTCACAGTTAATCTTGTTCAGGCATCTAAGTTGTCAAAATTAGACACAAGAAAAAAAAAAACTCTTAATGTACAGTGAAGGAATCTTGCAACTTTTCTCGACCATCTTGACATTTATTCAAGGAGCACACACTGGAGTGAGAAAAAGATAGGTACTTGGGCAGAGATTTGAGTCAAGGTGCAGAGAAAAGAGCATGGAAAATAGAGTGAGAGATGATAGAGAGAGACAGAGATGATAGAGAGAGACAGAGATGATAGAGAGAAAAAGAAAGAAAGAGATGAGAGAGAGAAAAAGAAAGTGAAAAGAGATGAGAGAGAGAAAAAGAAAGTGAAAAGAGATGAGAGAGAGAAAAAGAAAGTGAAAAGAGATGAGAGAGAGAAAAAGAAAATGAAAAGAGATGAGAGAGAGAGATAAAGAAAATGAAAAGAGATGAGAGAGAGAGATAAAGAGAGAAAAAAAAACGATTAAATAAGATAACAGAATATTACACAACTAAACAGTAAACTAAGAGAGATAATAGCAAAATGTATGTGTGTGTGTGCATTGAAGCAAGGAGGTTATAAAGGAATATGAAGGAAGAAAGAATGAACATTTCAATAAAAAGAAAATGTTGCATAAGGGCAAAAGAAAGTGAAGAGAGAAAAGAAATAATGAGAAACAAAAGAAATCTCTCCCAAGAACAGGGGAGAGAGAGAGAGAGAGCTAAAGAGGTATAGTCATAAGCTACAAAATAAAAGAAATATTTTAAACAAACAAAAAGAGAGACACGGGCAATCAGCAAAAATGTTTTTGGAAAGCATATAGATAAAACAGATATTTACTAAGTTTTGTTTAGTTTAAAAAAGTCCGTTTAAGACCCCCAGTGAGAATCATACTCACAATGATTTACAAGACTAACTTAGCAAACACTGTTTAACAACCAATGACACTGAACTCCCTATTAACTAACTATTTTTGATACTACTAAGCTTTTGTTTTAGAACAGTACCAGGCCAAGTATTTGAAAATAAAAGGTTTAATTATATTGTGCAAGTCCTCCAAGAAGAGAAAGCCTTATTAATTAATGGGTTATAGGTAGAAATTTATAATTAGTGTCAGATCTTTATAAACCTATAATACCTTATAAACCTATAATTGATACTCACAGCACAGATTGAAGGCAAGAGGGACAGAGGAAAACAATGCATAACCTACCTGGCAAGCTTGAGTGAATGAATGATAAAGCAGGATTTGGGAGAGATCGCAAAAAACAAAATTCATTGAAAGCTACAAAGGAAAGTAAGTTGTGGAGAGCCATGATCATCAACATCATGAAGCAATACAACAGTTAAAAGAATTAATACTGGATTTTTGTTTTAATTTTGATAATTAAAATAGTATTTTATGGTGGGCATTAATGGGTTTAACTGAACTCAAATACTAACCAGTGGTATCAACAATAAATCCACAATTACTTCAGCCACAAGGAATGACTCAAGTTTTCTTTTTGGGTGCTAAAAGTCTGGGTGTGGAAACACTGATAAAAGGAGAAGGGACAGGAAACAAAAGAAAAAGGAACAATAACAAAAAGATGGGAATAATTAAAGATTGATTGATATATATATTTTTTTTACAGCTTATCAACTTATGCCGGTTATTTAAAGCCAGAAATTATTTTTAGATTAGAAGAATTTTTTGCAGATAATGATTTACTGATAGAAGTTCTAATAGAGATGGGACATACAGAGCAAATTTTGGATGTACCCTCAGATTTCAGTTGCTCTGAGATTTTTCCCTTCTTTGTATCCTTAAACTGAATGAAAAATTACTTAAAAGTGATAAAAATCAATTTTCAATCAGTAGTCAGCTGAAAAACTGAATTTATCCATACAACCATCAAAAACCATCCTAAAATAAGCAAATCACGTTTTGTCAAGAAAAGGTCTCCAAACAGCTATTAAAAATAAACAAAATCGATGCAAACCCCAAAAAATAAGATCATGCAATGTATATTGGAATAGGTTGTAAGCCTCAAAGGTTAAAATGAGTATAAAAACACAAAAATAGCTAAAAAATTACCCCCAAATCATCAGAATGGTGTCTTATGTGCTCTGTATGAGTGACATGGAAATCCCTGGTGAATTTTGTTGCATTACCTGACATAAAAGGATTAGCTTGAGTGCTTTTGAAGACCAACAAATCAACAAAGACACAAAACTATACTTAAATGAGCCTAATTTCACAATTTTTCAGGGTTTGCTGCAAATGTAACAACAAAATTATGCAAGTACAAATGAAGATACAAAAAATGGAGTTGCTTTTGTAAGTGTTCTTTCATTAAAAACTTCAAGAAAATTTTGTCTAGTTTCAAAAGCAATGAAAGAATCATTATCAGTAGAGTTGATTAATGGTATCACAGGACCATCTCAGACCGAAAATATAAGATATGTGAAAGCACATTTATTAAGTGTAAACATAACCTCAGTTTATATATTGATTAACTTTTGAAAAGCATTATCAATAGATTTGCAGTTGCGGAGAACAAACTTCAATAATCATATGCTGGTATCCCACTCTCTATCTGTTCTGCAAGGAAAGATTTGATCAGAGGCAACTTACTGAATATCAGTGTTAGATGGGTATCACCAATAATCGTCCTTATCTCTCATTACTCTTCAACAAGATTATTATCCAGCAGTTTCTTAATATAGACAATGTACCAGGTGACAAGCTTTTGCTATTGCCAGACCACCACACACATTTCATTTACATTAATCTCATACTGTTGTTGGTTCTCAGTCAAAATTTTAGTGTTGATGGGTATTTCCAATGCTTTCAAAATATCATTGTTTGATGGTATGTCCACGGTACTCAAAGATGTGGAGGTTGCCACTCAGCATTCATCATGCAACAGTACATATAAATTTTCATATTTTTCCTCATGAGTCACTCCAGAGTCAAAAGAATTCAGGTATTGCAATCATGTCAGACTTATGTGTGCACCAATAGTAAGCAAGTTCAGTTGTCACTATCTTTTCAAACTTATGATTTGCAAGCTTCGAGTAACTTCCTGATATAATCCTGCTCTTTCTTTTCACCATCTTTTGATTCTCTCTTTCTTGCAAAAGAATCTTCTGACTGTGTGTCCATTCATTTTCTCTGTCTTCTAAAACTGTATGGATTCTCTTTGTTATGGAATCAATTGCAGTCTGATCTGCTTGATAGAGGGTCATGTCAGTCCATATTCTTTGCCTTGAAAGACTTGTTTCTGAATTTTACAACAACTGCTAAGTGGCTGAATTTATCTAAATCTCATTCACAAAGTTGTTTGTTAGCATGCCAAGCAATTGATTGCTGGTGAGGCAAAAAAGTTCAGTAGCAGCACACAGTTTCTATCTTTAGTTGCAAACCCATACTCATGACAGTATTGTATTTGAATTCCAAATACAGCATCAATACACGAGACATTATTTCTTTCCAGAAACCACAGAAACATCTTGTCACAAACATTTTAATTCTCATTTTAACTCAATATGTATGTTGTATAAAATTACCTATTTTTAAGATGCAACTCAAATTAAGGGTAATTAAATTGGAATTGGAAAATCTTCCTAAATTTGAGCCATTTTCAGACAGAAAACAAGACACAATAAAATTTTTTAAATCTTTAAAATTATAAATAAATTATTGATTCATAATTTTTGTTCTTACCTGAACAAAATCAAAATAAGCACAATCCCATTGATAGATTTTGCAGAGCTTTCATGAAAACATGTGTCCCACATATGTGACATAAAGCAATATGGGTTAATATATATATCACTGATCAAATTTATCACTGGATCACAATCACAATTTTGCACTCAAATAATAGCAACATCAACACTGAGCTTCATACAAAGTTTGAACAACACACTCATCATCATCATAATTTTCTTTGTTCAGTTGGATTTCTGTGGGCATTGCTCATATTGAGTATGATCCCGGATCAAAAAAATGTGAAGTTACATCATAAGTAATAGTTATTAATCCTAGAACACTAACCATGGGTATATAAGTACCCTGCATGAATTTTCCTATTTTTAATTACAATTTTCAGTATCTGATTTTCTTACCTAAATTTTGCAGTTCCTATTAATGTTAACTCAAAGTACAACATTTGAAGTGCCCGCATGTAAAATATTTCAAATAAAGATTTATGTTTAATATTTTTTTGATATTTTCAAAATTGGGTATGATATAACCATGGTTAATAGTGGTGTAACTTTAATTGATGATTAGTGTTCTAAGGTTAAAGCAGTTTGCGAATGAGGATCAGAAGTTGCTAGTTGATCAGTAAATTTTTGGCCTCCATCAAAATGCGCTCATACTAAATTGAGTGAAATTTTGTGCATCTCTAATATGGAGAATCAGATTTGATAATTTTCAAAATTTAACTAGTTTGGTGATTAACACAAGTGACAGAATTGAGAAGCAAACCCTTAAACAGTAAATTATTGTTAGCTACCAGCAGAAATCAAGTGTATGTGCCATTTTATAATACATTAATATTGAAAAATTGGTTTAAAATGTACAAAAATGGGCCAAAATGGGCAAAATCTGGATTTTCTGCTGGCTACTGATGAGAAATGACTTTTTAACCAAAATTTTTGCTTGTTTTGGTTTATTTGGGATACAAGCAAGTGAATAAACAGAGCAAAATAAATCTGAGGGTAGGCCCCCATACATCCCACCTCTATTACTAATTAACCCATAGCTTGATGGGGAGAACAGGTGGATTCCCAAGAGTATTTGTACCTAAGTGAATCTAATGAAACCAACTGGAATTGAAACTTGGCTCTCCAATTTCCAATCCAAAATTGTTATCCATGACATCCTAATTTACAGAACCTGGTATTCCTAAGTGGTCACCCATCTAGGTACTGACCAGGCTCAACTTTGCTTTGCTTTAGTGATTAAATAAGAACCAGTGTTTCAACGTGATATGACCATAAACCAAGTAATCAAAAAGGTGAAATGAAAAGAGTGACAAAATAGGAAAGGAAAAAAAAAAAGAGGAGGAGAGGATTTTAAGAAGAATATAGGACAGAGAATGTCAGAAATTGTTATAATAATAAAAGTTATAGAAAGAAACAATAAGGAGGAAGGGGAGGTGAGAGATAAAAAGAAATGAAAAGAAAATAGAAAAATAGAAAAGAAAGATAAAAGGAAACTCGAGATGATTTTCAGTAGCAAGAGGGGGATAATAACAAAAATAGAGAGAGGTGGAAGAATGAGAAAATTAGTAGCAGTAAAAATTAAAGGAAAAGGAACAAGGAAAATGAGAGAGAGTCAATAAATGAGAAATGGTGAAAGTTAGAGGGAGGGATATAAGAGGAAAAAGAAGGTGTAGGCTGAACTCTGAAAAGAAAAACAAATACAAAAAGTATAAAAGAGTAGAAAAAAGCAAAAACAATCTTAAATGGATTTAAAAAAAGAAATAATTATATAAAAAGCCATTTTCTGGTTCTTCATGAAAACTCCTGTAGATTCTTTTATTAAGACAATTTTAATTTAAGTAATTTGAACCCAAAAGCTTGTTTGATTTTCGGAAGGGAATTGTTTGTTTCATTTATTTCTTTTCATAACAAATAATTTCTTAAAATCATCAACTCACAATGTAACTTTTACTCAGCAGAAATTTCTCTGAATAGAGGTACATAAAGACAGCTGGTGACAACAAGTAAACATATTAAATTTTCTTTTCTTATATATATATATATATATATATATATATATGATAGACTCTCCCATTGTCTTAAAACCAAACAGCCAGACTACCTGCACGTATGATTTGATTATAGTGTAGAACCAACCACACTTTTTAGAAGCGCCAAATACAAAGAACTGCTACACATCCTTCTCCTAGACTGGTTGCCAACTAAGGCTAAAGAGTCCAGTCTGCTCTAGTATTTAACTAAGAAATGAATTCATACCTTTCCCAAAGGTATTTGTGCATGGATAGAATATAAAAAACTCTACTGGAATTTGAACTCAGCTCTCCATTACACCACATATGTACACACATGGTGCGATGGATAAATTGTTGACATTATTAATTTCATGCATGCACGTTGTTTATGATTTTGTGGACTGCACAGTATAGTGGGGTCAGCTGGGTGTCATCTATGAGAAAAAGAGCACCATGACGCAATTCACTCAACCAGAAATTTGGAAACAGCATGCTGTACTGCTTGGCATTCTTGCCAAAAGCTCAAATATGAACATTTCAGAGTGTTTGGGTGTCAATTTGAGGACAATGCAAAGGATTCAGAAAGCGTTGGATGAGTCTAATGGTGATTACAAAGATACAGCAGCTTGGAAAACTCATATTGATTGTTCTGATTAGAAAAGAACTCCCAAATTTGTTAGTGAGTGCCAGACTCAATATGGAGACCTACATCAAGTGTCTTGAGAAGGTAGATCTGCCCTGAATCAAGGTAGCTGCTGGAAGACCCTATATCTGGCAAGAGGATTCTGCATCATACCACACAAGCGCGAGAACCCAGTCATGGCGGTCAGACAATTTTTGCAACCAAATCACCCCTTGCATCTGGCCACCTAACTTCCAAGACTGCAACCCCCTTGATTATTATGTGTGGGGTGCAGTTGAGCAAGAGACCAACAGAACTCATTATAACACCAAAGATGACCTGAAGGCAAAGATTATGGCAGCATTCACCAACTTAAACAAAGAGACTGTCCAGAAGAGTTGCAGGAGATTCTGAAGTCATGTGGAGGCTGTGGTTGAAACCAAAGGCAATTTTATTGATTAAATTTACTGTTTAGTATTTCGGGATATTTTTGTGTAATTTTGGTAAATATATCTGTTAAAATGAGATGTTGGTGGTATTTTTAGTTTTGCATAGTTTAAACGACAATTTATCCATCGCATCCTCTTTGTGTGTGTGTGTGTGTGTGTGTGTGTGTGTGTGTGTGTGGAGAGAGAGAGAATGTAACAGGTTGGGGGTCAACTAAGTAATGGCAACATAAAAAGAAATGTAGTTGCCAGCAAATAAAAATGGCTTATAACCACATTTCTATAAATTATATCAAATGAGTGCCAAAGTTAAGCTACATTAAATTGCAGCTACATTGAGTGTATCACCTTTTAATATTGCTTTGTATTGCACAAGACATAAGATGTGTGGGCAACACTATGTTGATGAAAGACTCAGAAAGGAAACTAAAAGAATTAGACAAGGTAGTAATGGAAAGTAGGAAGAAAGGACTATTTATTAAACCTGTTAGAAGATAAATGCATAGTTATAAGTAAAAGAGACAGCTCAAAGTTTGAGCTACATATTAGGGATGTCAAAATCAAGCAGGTACAAAAATTTAACTATTTGCACAGTGTAATAACAGACCACAGAAAATGAGACAGAGAAATCCAAAAGTGTATAGGAATAGTGAAAAATGTCTTCCAGAATATAAGCAAAGTATTAAAACATAGGAAAATATCATCAGAAACAAAGAAAAATATTGAATGCCTATGCAATATTTAATCACTTATATAGCAATGAATGCTGGACACTCTCTTCACAGATGAAGAGATTTGAAGCAACAGAGATAAGGGGCTACCAAAAATGCTAATAATGCTATGAACAGAACAAGTGAGCAATAAGGAAATCTTGAAAAAAATAGGAAGAACAAGGAAACTGATACTTACAATCAGAAAGAGATAAGTTGAACTAAATCTAGTTAAACTAAAACAGGTTCAGGCACTTGGTAAACATTAACAAGGCTAATCTGGTTGACCATTATGACTGAGTTTTGAGTTTGAACCACATTTGGTGCCTTATACACAAATTCAACATTAAATAATCCAATGAAATTTGACATAATAAAATCAACCAGCCTAACCTAAAATAGGTTCATTTTGCTTTAAAACAAATCAATAAAAAAATATTGTTAAGAGTTTATATTTGTTATCTGATAATTTTTGCCACATTTGTTACAATTAAATAGACTTTTTTTATTTTTTTTTTTTATTTCTGAGGATGACATTGATCACCTTTGGAGATCAGAGCTCCCATGAAAGATTTACATTTTGTTAACCTAACTATTTCAGTATACTGTTATCACAATTTACCAATTTGTCTGAAAATAAAGTTATTTACTAAGGTTAGTTCAAAATGTGTAGTGAACGAGATAATCAAGTACCCCGGAAAAAAGTTTGTGTCTGTGTAACATCAGCGAGCAACTATAACTCAGATTTACTAAAATCTGTGCATTGCCAAAGCGGACATCCCGGTGTAAAACGGACCTTATATTTCGTGAGGCAGATTTATCCCTCCATATCCTATTTTTTCCATTCGTCGACAGCTGGGATAGGATGCTCCGTAATTTGCATATCAATATACTCTTATAGCGACTCCTGCGACGGACTCTTCCCCGCACCGAGCATGAAAGTGGCGCTCCCTGTGATTAAGGTACGCATCAATGGAATAACGCGTACCGCTTTAATAGATCGGGCTGCTCTCGGTCACTCACCAACGGTTCGATTTGCCGACAGTGGAGCAGACAAAAGATGGACGATACTAACGGCTGATGGAAAGGCTCTCAGAAGCCGGGAGTTGGAAACATCAAACTCAGTATTAATAACGGTGACCCTGTCACAGTCAGTGTGTTGGTCGTGGACAGCGCGTTATTAGGTTTCGATCTGCTCCTTGAGATGGACATTATTAAGGAGCTGGGCAGCGTGACGATTACAGAGGCGGGCGAAGTCAAGTTTTCTGATCCGCCCATCTGTGCTACTTTGAAGATCAACGGGCCCGACTTTTGGCGCAGAGTTCACCAAAGGATCTAAGACATGGACAACATTTTGGAAATGGTCGGAAAATAACCCACCAGAAAAGCTCCAGAACCGAAAGTGTCAGAATATTGATTGCCCGAACACGTCAAGGAAGAATACCAGCGAATTGCAGGTGTGGCTGGATAACGGATGGCTGACTCCGTATCCCGAGGAAGAGCTTGGTCCTCCAAGAGGCCTCATCCCGGTGATGGCTGTGGTACAAAAGAACAAGAGAAAGGTGCGCCCTGTACTAGATTACAGAGAAGGAAAATTCGGGCATTTTTGGCTACGGCGTTAGTGAGTTATTTTCCTGACGCGTTACAAGTGATTTTCTTTCTTTGTGTTGTGAAAGTAACAAATTTGCTTTGAGAACGCTTACTCTTCAAAATGATACAAGGCTACAAGAATAAAACAAAATTTACTCATGAAAATGAGGATCAAATTCATTTCAATGTGTAATGCTGGTGTTCTGATTATTGCTCTAAATCATCCAATACAGACCAGAACGCTGAAATATTCAAGTTAATTGTAATATTAGCCGTTTTCTTATAAGAAGACATTTGGCATTCATTGAGCAAACATTGTACTACTGTCAACTGAAATTTATAAAAGCTTTCTCTTAAAACAATTTTTCAGGAAAATAGGTTTCTCAAGTTCACTAGCTGTTATTGTTATTTCCAGTATTGATTGGGGTTTCCTTCCTAACTTTTAGTTTGAGCTAAGTTTAAATCCCAGTCTGCTTTGTTACATTCACTTACATACAAATATATTTGGGGAAGGTATGAATCCATCTCCTTCCTCCATATGGGTTAAATAGGACTTGTATCTGGAAAAATCATTGTTACTCTCAAACAATTGTTAATGCAATATTCACTCACAAACAAAAGAATTATTTTTACAGTCAAAAATAAGTTTCAGCTTTAAATTACCCACAAAGGGTTGATAAACCATAAAAAACAAAATCAATCAATCACTGTAGCAAACAAATTAATGAATTGCACCAATTATCTATATTCCTCAAACTCTCATTCATTTTATAGAGTTCTTACTACTCCTTCCTTTTATTACAAACACCACCATTATTACAAGTTATATACATGAAATATTTTAAGGGAAATGTTATAGAAACATCACCACTAAAAACTAACTATATAAATGA